TGTGTGTGTGTGCCAAGTGTTGTTTCTTCTTGCCGGGGTATAGGTATAATAGAAACATCTGGCCAGGTTCACCACCGGATTGCGTTGGCTCGCAACCATTCCACTGCCTATGTCAGCATGACTCGGAGGACCCCGCTATAACAGCATAGGCCGAGCCGATCGCGCCTAGTTGCGAACCGCGTGTCGCGTGTGCAAGGATGCCTGAAATGCAGACCCTTCTGGAGTCCGAGCCAGACTTCCTGAAGACCTTGGCGGACTTGGTGGAGAAGGTGCACAGTCCACAGCTGGTCGTCAAGGAGTTAGGATTGGCGGATCACCCCAGCGTGTCGAGAATTACGAATTACAGGGACCCCATGCATGGCAAAATCGTTTACCACGCAGACCCGTTGACTCTGTATCGAGCAGCTCCGGCCTGGCAGGATGTTCCCCGCCCACCGCGGCCCCCTCAAGAGGCCATGGTGCTGCGTCGCAATGCTGCTGGCGCAAGAGATGCTGCCAATGCAGCAGGTTCAGGTGGTTCTGCTTCAGCCAGCAGCGCAGGCTTACCTGCACAGGGCCTGGCGTCAGGATCCGACCAGCCACGGGCGTTGGCTGACGGCAGCAAGGAAAGTGATATGCTAGAGATGCTCGAGGTCGTGTCTCCCGACGGGGCAGTAGCTGCAGCTCCCTATCACACAACATTTTCCCACGCAGTTGATGACATCTTCAGAAGTCTTGTTATTCGTGGTGCTGCGTCCATGTTGGCAGATGATGATTCTGACATGACATTCTGCGTCAAGCTGAACCCTGATTCTTTGCACTTGCTGTGCAATCCCGGTGCATTGCAGGTGGAGGAAGTAGACTACAGCTCGCTGATTTGTAGCGGTTGGTTGTTTGCGCAGTTGATCCGGAAAGGTGTCGGCGATATTCATATACCGCAAGCGCAAATTTTCAAGCGGTCCGATTGGGCCGTTGCCCCGCTGCGAGTCTTGGAGTGCAACAAAGCCGAAAGGACATTCACTGTCGAGTCGTCCCCTGTACAACTGCCTTCTGTCGCAAAGCCTGGCCAGCAAGATTGCACGAATGTTGTCTTGCGCTTAGACAGCTTGCCGCTGCAAGCATTGTTGAAGATGTGCACTTGGACAAAGCGCCCAGAACTGGTGTACGGTTTACGAGGATTTTCTGCAGATGGCGTGTCTGCCGATGACTTCAAATGTCTGCCAGCGCTGCTAGCAGAGCTTCTTGCTGCAGGCGGTATGGATTTGAAAGGGACGGACAAGGATTATAGCCGCAAGCGGTCTCTGTTGTGTGAGCTGAAGGAGCAGGGCTTGGTGCAGAGTGTCGACGATGGGTCATGGTGTCTGACAGACGAGGGTCTCAGCAGTGTGGAGATAGGACGTGTTTTGAGTGACTGCAAACCACTAGTGCGACCCAGAGACATTCCTTTCCAGGATATGGAGTGCGTGGACCTGCTGCTTTCTTTGAACTCTGATGGTTGGCAGTGTGAGTCAGTCGTTGCGAAGATGCTTCCGTGCGAATCTTACGTTCATGGGGAATCGCCGAAGGTTTGGTACCACCAGATTGGCAAGCAATCCCTGTGTGATTCTTATCTGCTGCTCCTGCTCACAGCGCATGAACACAAGCAACCTGTGCCACACTTGAAGCCACAGTCTGTGTATGACCAGATGCTTGGGAAACCAACCAAAGCTCAAACCCGAAAAAGAGCGGCCAGCATTGTTTTTCTGCAGGACCCAGAAGTGTGGGTTGACGAGTCTGCGTTGTTGCCCTTGCCGAAGAAGCGTGCGCCCCGTGACAACCGTGCACGTGCAGGCCCTGGCCAGGATGCGTTGCTGGACGATTTTCCGGAACTTGACACAGTTCTGGAGCACCCTGCAATCGAAGATGCCGAGGACGAAGGTGAAGACGAGAATCTGTGTGCTGATGCTTCCTTTGCGGCATCAGATCCCGGTGACAATGAGGCCGGGGCCCGGGACTCCAGCAGTT